CCCCCAAAGCGCCCCAAGAGGGCTCCAAGGGGCCAGAATGATTGATATGCCTTGCGTTGTTGCAGGGTTGAAGCGTTCTCGCCTTTCAGGCTTTCCACGCTCCAAAACGGCGCGAGATGCCCCAAATATCGTACTAACACGGCCCATGAGGCCCCCAAGAGGGCTTCCAAGACGGCCCTAAGACGGCCCAAGATGGCTCCATGCTGGGCCCAGGAACTTTCAACGCGGCCCCAGGAGCCCTGAAGGCATCAAAAGGGGCTCCAGAAAGGGAGCCCACGCATACATTTAGAGGCCTCTCTCGCTGAAATGGTTTCTGGTGACGCGGGTTGGGGCAGGCACAACCCCCACCATGCAGGAACGACGGGGGAGGCCGCCATGTATCAGAAAATGCATACACGTTGCGTGCTTCTACGCCACTGTAAAACTTTCCAGGGCATACTGTGGACCCCTTCTGGGGCCATCGTGGGGGCATGCGGGGCCCCTCGTGAGGGCGTTTTTGGGGCCCTTGGGGCTCTCAACAGGTCTCTTAGGCCTCTTACGGGGGGCTGTTAGTTGTACCTTTTTTCTTTGGGAAGCGATGCACCACGCTGGTGAAAGTATACCACTCGTGGGACGCTCCTCAATCGGTCTAAACCGCGCCTTAAACATGACGTCCCGGTGGACATGTTTCGCTCGGCGCACAACGTTAGAGGTAACACGCGCTCCTGGCCACACAGGTTGACGTTCTCAACTCGTCGGCAGATCGAAGCTGCGCATGAGCTCGAGACCGAACCAAGAAAGCAAGTCATCAGAGCAGCAGTGCCAAGGCAGAACAGTGGACGTGTTCGACTCGGGGCCAATTGGAAAATATGCCGGAATGAGAACACATACATACTAAGATCGGGCCGGGCGAAAGGGGGGGATAGCACAGGGGGGGGGGTGAGAATCAGCTCACGTAGCTGATTTTCACGGCGCCTCCTGGCGCCGGAGGGAGCTATGTATCGAGGAGTGGGCCCCTCGGTGAGGCCGAAACCAGCTGCCAGCTGCATGCAGCAAATTTCGTACCCCCCCCTTTCCCAATCCCCCCATTTCGTTTGGCCCGATAAGAGCAACAGCTCCCAGCCAGAGCGGTGGACGTTCGCCACTCGGCGCCAGCTGGAGAAGCCGTGCACGCGCTCGAGAGAACTGGCGGATGGAGCCGCTTCCCGCCTCGGGCCAAGGACGGGCGAGAGAGCAGCAGACCCATGAGCTGAGGTCGGGCGTGTCCCGCAACATGCGGATGTTGAACGAAAAGTAGCAAATCATCAAACAACCATTCAAAACAGCAGAACTCGAATCAAACATCGTCCCCAGGCTATGTGGTGACTACTTGTGAACATTCCTCCTGTAGAGGGACAGCCCGACGTAACAATTCGCAGACACCTGGAAAGAACTTCGAAAAACCAACAACGTGAGACCGAAGACCTCCGGGCATTGTGGGAACGTTGCGCGACGCGTCGTCAAGAATGCAGACGCCAGTGGAGGAAGGAGAGAGCGCGGAGAAGACAGCGGACGGCAAGCAGGAGGTAGCGGACAGGCACACCGCCAGGAAGGCAGGGGCAAGGGAGACAACGCGAGGGGGGGCAAGAAGCGATGACGAAGAAGCAGGAGCAAAGTCACATCGGCGAACGGACGGGGCGAGACTACACAGGCAAACGCGCGGAAAAACCTTACCAGAGCACCCCCCTGAGCGAGCGTGAAGACGAGAGGGGCGAGAGAGAATCTCTGCGTTGAAGAACGCATGGCACGATGTATCGGTCATCGTGCTGTCGTGCCTTCACGACAGACACTGCAAACTAGAAAATGTATCGGTGTTATCGCTGCTATCGTTGTCGCTGCGATGGTTGTGATCGTCGTCGTTGATATTGGTATTGTGCAGTGGCCCCGTGCGGGAGCCAGCGATTCGGGCCGCGATGCCGTGCCAAAGCGACGAGACCGCCTCGACGAAAACGAACGCTGCCGTGCCACCGCCGCCTGCGGGGGGGGGGGGCCTAAGGTTGCGCCCCAAGCGCCACGTGGCGGCGCAGCGAGGCACCGGGAATGACACGTAAGTCGGGCCTGTGCCTCTACAGGAGAGATATTCAAAATCGGGGATGGACAGACCTCCCTTTAGTAAAACGTGGTTTAGTGAAAACGACCTCGGGCCCAAACCTGGCGGGCGCAAGCCTGGAAAATAACGGCCGCGGCGCCCTCTCGAGAACCGAAAACGGACAATTCACTAATCGACGTGTCACTGTTAGGAGGTCTGTCCACCCCCGACAAAAATAGTGGAAAAAATTACGTAGACGACTTTTTGAACTATGTTTGATCATTTTTGAAATTTGTTGGGCTAATTTTTTGATGTCGTACAAAACCGCCTGCAGGGGGACATGCCCGACCTGGAATTACACGCATGCGTTTCTGGAAGAAGAAACAACGGCATAGACAGAAACCTGTGGCGCTCCGCGCGGATATCTTGGATCCGCGCTGGGTCCCGGAGCGCCAAACGTTTATGTTGATGCAGCTTTTTCTTATTCGAATCTCTGGATGTGAACAACCAGGGTTGCCATGATGTCCCGGAGTCGGGGGAAAAGGCCTGGAGAAGCGCGCCAAGATCATTGGACACACCTATGAACACACATCAGCTGGTCCTCATCGTCAAATGGCGCAACGGCGCTGAGGACGGTTTCGCTCTGAGTGTCGACAACGTTGTGCTCAACGCAGCTGCTGCTCTTGTCGCAGCTGCTACGTTCTGATCTGGCGCTGATCTTGCCGCAGCTGCTGTAACATACGCTCTGGAGCTGCCCCTGATTCAACTGATGCCGTGTGCGTTAGCTCAGCCAACACATGTACAACTTACACAGATTCCCGTGTAAGTCATAAGTCTGTACATCTGCGTTCATAGGCAGCAGCGGCAATGCAAACCCCTCACACCGCCATCCAGGACTGGTTGTGGTTACAGAAGTTGCACTCGACGATGGGCGGGAGCGCGCTGCTGCTCCCCCCGCCCCCGCCCTGCCGCAGCAGGACCCCGCACTCAGAGCACTGACCGATTACAGGGGATCCCTCATTACACAAGGAGCTCTGATGCTTGCACGGCTTCTGTCGGGGAAACGTAGGACTCAGGTACGGGGGACTCGGGTTGGCCGGCCTGACGGGGCCATCATGGAAATGACGGGACCCAATCTTAAAAAGTTGACGCGAGCTCCCGTTGCAAACATCCCACGAAAATCGGACCGTCAAAATTCAGGACACGCTCGTCAAAAAACGTCAGCCAACCCGAATTCCGGCTTACTCGAGTCTTACGTTTCCCCGGTTCTGGAGAAGGCTCGAAATCAGCTGCGCCGCGGTCCTTACAGAGCCGTGGAACTCGCAGCAGCTCTGCGCTGGAATCTGCAGGTTCAGGCTCAGGAGGGCGTCCAAGAGCACAAGGATGGCCGTGCTGTCGGGCGTGCGGTCGTAGCCAGACAGTGTGGTCCTCGAACTCTTTGGGTCGCCAGAGTCCACCGCGCCCTTCTTGGCAGCGGCGAGCAAGGCCCGGTCGGACCTTCGAGGCTCCCCCGCGCCGCCCGTTGCTGGCGCGCTGACATTTGCTGGGCTCCCCGCGATGAGCTGGGCGATGTTCAGCGGGAGTTCCGACGGCTCTGACTCCAACAGCGCGCCGTGGCAGTCCGCGGCATGCCTGTAAACCTGCTGCATCCCGAGTCTCGCCGCGGCCTCCCCGCGGGTGCACTGCTCCACCACGGGCTGCCACCTCCCAGCCAGCCAGCTGCCAGGCGGCCACTCTAGGGGTGCAAGCAGCTGCTCCACCATCTCGTCGAAGCTCCTGGCCACCGTGCCCCTGAGAGGGAGCCGACCGGTGATGACGAAGAAGGCGAGGCGGCCGAACGAGAAGACGTCGGCGGCCGTACTGGTGGCCTTGCCCCCGGTTCGCAGGAGCTCCGGCGCAACCCAGGACAAGGTGCCACCCATGGGCTTGACGTGCCTCGTCAGCATGCGCGACAGCCCGAAGTCCAAGAGCTTCGCCCTAACCGCGGCGCGGGTGCGGACCGCCTCCACAAAGACGTTGTTATCTTTCAGATCGCCGTGGGCGATGTGAGGGGTGCGCGAGTGAAGGTACTGCAGGGCACACGCCACGTCGACGAGAACTTGAGACCTCTGCAGGGCACTGGGCGGCTCGGAACCAGAGTGATCACCATCATCCCTCCGCCCGCTCCGCACGAAGCTTCGGAGGGACAGGCCGTCCACGAAATCGATCACCAATGCCATGTCGCAATTCTGGTCGTCCAAGGCCGCCCCGTAGAAAAGCACAATATTTGGATGGCGCACGCGCCTGAGAACACGTAGCTCATTGCACAATTCCACCAGGTGCGAATTGTCCGACAGCCTCTTCGTGCGTATCTTCGGGACCTTGACCGCCACGTGGGTCCCCTGGTATCTGGCCAGGAAGACCCTCCCAAAACTCCCCTCCCCCAACTGTTGCCCAGGCACGAGGGTGATCTCGTCTGGCCTGATGAGCCACTGCTCTCTGCCTCCGATGGTCGCTAGCTCCTCCATGAAATCCTTGGTGATGCCGCCATTGTTCACGCTGAAGACCCTCCCCGATTCCGTCGTTGATGGCAGCGAGTCCTTGCCCGACTCCGACGGATCGTGGTGCGTGTGCGCGCGCTGCTGCTGAAACCTTGACAGCTGGAAGTCCGACTGGAACCTCAAGCTCTTCTCGCGGATCACCGTCAGGAATTGGGTCCTCTCCTCGAGCTCCAGGCCGCGCTTGCCCGTGCAAGCCAGGCCAACGAGGACCACGAAGATGGTGAGCAGGCGGAAGGCATTGTTAGACTCGGCGGCCCCGACGGTCAGGGCGGGCACCACGTAGGTGAGCAAGCCGACGACCTGCACGCTCAGGATGAAGCAGAACCGGATCGGCAGCAGCATGTGGGAACCGGTGATCAGCGCGTCAATGGTCAGCAGCAGGCCGGTGTCGGTGATGTACTTGGGCTCCAGGTGCTCCTCGGGGTCGATCCCCAGCGCCTTCGAGGCGTAGAAGGGGACGCTCAGCAGGAGCAGGACCATGGCGAGGCAGACGATGAAGGCAGAGAAGATCTCCAGCAGGGCGGGGCTGGCTCTGCGGACGACGCACGGGGTAGAGAACACCAGAGACACCTGCAGGGTGGTGAGCACGATCGAGCCCAACATCAGGTTCGTCAGCTGCATGACTTGCATGACCTCGTCGCTGACGTAATATTCGCGGCCAAACTCCCAAGGCTTCTGCATCAAGAGGACCACGCCCGAGCCAACCCCTGTTGCGATGCTGCACTTGATCATGCTTGCGGCCAACTTCTGCTGGCGCGACTTGGCGAAGCCGGTCTCCATCCCAGCATCCTTGAATGTAAGCCACAAGTAGTTGATGTCATCGTGGCTCCTGGAAGCTGCAGGACACGGGAGCCAACTGGGGTTACAAAGCGGCTCTCGCGGCGTTCGATTGCGCCATGAAGACATGGTATATAAGTACCTGGGACAGATGGGCCCAGAGGCCAGAGCCCATGCACATCAAGGCCCTTGAGCCCAAATAGCTACGGACGCTGTTAGCTGCATCGTGGGGCTTCTTGGGGCCACTCGCGGGCACCAAGACGAGTGCCGAGGGGGCACCGACGGGTTGTGAGGACTGTCGAGAGAAGACTGGAGATCAGGGGACCCGACCTCGCCCGAGGTACACGCCCTCGTCGCCACGGCTAGTTCTGTCCCGAGAATCCTGGTCGACACAAGAAACACTGTTTTCTTGCCAGACCTCGCTCGAATCGGCCCCCTCGGCGATACGAGGCGGGAGGAGGGAGAAAAGGAGAGGAGGAGGAGGAGGAGGAGGAGGAGGAGGAGGAAGAGGAGGAGGAGGAGGGGGAGGAGGAGCAGAGGAGGAGCAGAGGAGGAGCAGAGGAGGAGCAGGAGCAGGAGCAGGAGCACGAGGAAGGCCAGGACGCGAGCCGGCCTGCCACCGAGGCCCAAACATTTACGGAGGCCACCGGCCCACCCCGGCCAAGCGCCCCCGTCCCCCCCCATCGATCGGGGGCGCGCCGGCATGGACTGGCGCAGGGTGGACCTGAGCAGTGCTTCCCGTTTTCGTTATGGTTCCGTTCTTCCTCGTCTCGTCTTGGATCCGCCTTTGCTGCAGAACGCCATCGAAACGAAACCAGCCCACGACATCGCCAAAACACAATTTCCGATCGCGCTCATTTCTGATTGTGCTCGTTTCTAGTTGTTCCTGGCCCCCTAGTGGCCAGGAAGAGGCCCAAGATAGAACAATCCGAAATGAAAGGATCTTCGCCCCCCGGAAATTCAAAGAAATTTTGAAGAATGAGACATGAACAATGATTGGCGATCCGTGGATTTGGCGCGCGGTCCCTCCCCAGAGTGCGGCCGGTGCCGCCCCGCTCGGCGGCGGAAACCCGTGCTTTTCCTATGGAAACGGGACCCGTCGCTCACCCACGCCCCTCAGTCCATGTTTGAAAGGGCCCTGGGACACACAAATAAATACGTACAAATTACAGGATTGCCTTCCCCCCTACTTCCCATACTTTCTCACATGTTCCAGGAGATCGACGAGTCATTGTGTCTGTGTGTGAAGGTGTGTGTGTGTGTTTGTTGTGTTGTGTGTGTGTGTGTTTGGTGTGTGTGTGTGTGTTTCCACTCCTGCATGTTTGCGATCGCAGGATCGAGAACGGCGTCCGATGTTCGGCCCACGAGGGCCGCTGTCGGGCCCCAGGGAGGGGAGGGCCATGGGAGGGGGGGGTGGGTCGCTCGGCCTGTGCCCGTGGACGGCCCTCTTCCCCCGCTTCCCCCCTCCTCCACATGCGGACGGGCGGAGGCGTGTGCGGTGAGGGTGGTCCGTCAGCCTCCGTAGCTGGTCCTGTGCCCCCTTCGGGGAGGCGGCGTGACTGGCTTCAGGTCCGGCGTATCCCCCCACAGGCGGAGCTCGGAGGAACAGTAGGAAAAACAAAAAAAACATAACCCTAAAATGCTCCAAATAAGATTAGGAAAATCGTCCCCAGGCAATGCTTTGACGATTTCTGGATGCTCCTCCTGCAGAAAAGGGAGCGCCCGACGTAAGACTGGCTGCGCGAGGTGCGGTCGGCAATGGCTTGGCTCCGGCCCCGCCCCGGGTCGAGGCGCTCTCGTGCAGGTGCTGCTTTCCTTAAGTCGGGCCTGTCCCCCCCCACACGGGGATTTTCCACGAAAAACAAAACATACCCCCAAAATGACAAACAAATAATCCAAGAATAGTCTGGGGACGATGTTTGGAATATTTTGATCAACGCTCAGCTCCATGCCAAGATGTGACAATGCCCGATCTTTTTTTTTGCCAGGGCCAAAAGACTATGGCCATGTCAGTAGCGAATCGCGTCGCCCATGTGGTGGGCGGCTCGAGAGTTGGCAGCTCGCTGCCTCCAAAGAACTGAAGCCACGATAGGGAGAAGGAGGAGAAAAGGGAAGGACGGAAGGGCCGCTAAAAATCTTGAGCAAGATATGCAATGGAAAGAATTGGCATCTCCGTGCCAGTAACGATTCAAGAGCTAGCTCCACACATGATCAACGCTCGACTCCACGCCAAGATGTGACAATGCCCAAGCTTGTTTTTGCCAGGGACAAAAAATCGGGCCATGTCTGCAGTAGCGAATCGCGTCGCCCATGTGGTGGGCGGCTCGAGAGTTGGCAGCTCGCTGCCTCCAAAGAACTGAAGCCCCTACCCACCTTCAAAGAGTGTGCTGGCTCGCTGGCGGATCACTTCCGCCAGGACTGAGCAAAGGGCAGGAGGATAGGGACAGGCACGAAACGTCCAGAACAAACCTTGAGAGCCTTTCCCTCGCAAGGTGATGTGGGCTTTACCTATGGCGCTGCAGCGCGCCTGGCTACCATCACAGACATGGGGAGCATGATCTAGCCCAGGAAAGTTGAAAGACAGAACGATCGTGGCCTTCCGCCAGGGCACCTGCTACTGGCAGTAGTCCACTCGCTGAATCTTTCAATTGAAGCGGGTTACTAACTCAAGAAGTTGCGGCACGAGCCAGAGTCTGGATGAGGCTGGGTTCTCGATCATAACGAAAATGCCAGCAGTGGCAGCAGCCTTGACCAGACTCAGGACGTGTGACAAAATCAGGTTGGCCTCATTTAATTTCGACAGGCCCGCTGCTGAGAGGGATGGGACGCCAAAAAGACAATCGTCACTGGGCAGCGGGGGCGGTCCAAGCCCGTCGTTTTTTTTTCTGGCCCTAGACCAGGTCTTACAGTCGAGGCCAAAATGCAAACCACACAGCTGTCTAGTCGCAGTGCGCTGGCGAAAACAGGCGATCACTTGCGGGTCTGCGAGGTCGGCTTAAGCCCCGTCGATGCAGCGCCAGCCTTCGGCTGCCAGCCCGCGCTTGCCCACGGCACTGGCAGGGTTGGCGGGCCCGCACATGAGCTCGACGAAAGGCGAGACGGCGCAGCCGAGCCCGGGTGGCGGCCCGAAGCGCCGCGGCGGGCCTTGGGCCTGCGCAGGCCCTGGCCGCTGGCTCCGCGCTTGCGCAGGCAGCCCAGGCTCTCGCACAGGAGCCGCTCGAGCTGTCCTTGGGCGTCCCTGGCTCTCTTGACGATGGCGGCTGGCAGAGTGGCCTCCTGCTGATGGATGAGCGCGCGCGCCTCGTAGCGCCTGGCGCTCTTGTCGGAAGCCCACCTCCCGCGCGCCTTGTTTGCTGGTAGAGACCGCTGGCGTTGGAGACGGTCGTGGGAAGGGCCTCCGTGGCGCAGCTGGCACGGCGCGCACTCGTTTGGGATGCCGAGGATTACGAGCGCCTTGATCCGGAAATCGAGCAGCTGAAGCACGGTGAGCCTGAACAGCTGGCGTCGAGGCAGGCCGCCTTTGATCGCGCGCAGCAGAAACCCGAGCCACACCGCCTCGACGGAGTCGAACATGATCGACTCGTCGGAGAGCCTGACCTTGCTCACCTCGCCACGGTCGCTGGGGTGGAGGTTCAGCACGAAGAAGCTGGGCGACGCCGACGGGGGCACCAGATCCTCCTCCAGCAGGTTCTTCGCCCTGGACGGGCGGAGGTAGGCCAGGAACATCGTCAGAACCATGAGCGCTGCCATGGGCGCCTTGAGGTTGACGATCATGATCTGGGCGATCAGGCAGATCAGGATCCACGGGGTCGGCGGCTTCGTGAGTCCTGGGTCGGGCCTCTCCCAACCTGGCATCGCTCGCGACAACCTCGGGGGGCGCAGCGCGCCCCGCCGGGAAAAGTCGGGGTGCGCTGAGAGGAAGGCTGCGCAGGTCCGGTGCACGACCCCCCTGTCCAGGCCCTCTGTCCAGGCGTAGTTGGCGAAGTTCGCCAGCGCCAGGTCGGCCTCGGCTGGGGTGCCCAGCGAGAGGCCGTGGGCCACGACGAAGCGCTTGAGCTCCAGCATGCAGTCCGCGTAGACGTCCTGGGTGGCTGGAGCCACAGCGTTCACCTCCAGGAAGGTCTGCTTGCCCTCCGTGGTGCGATGGAACGCGCCTGAGGCTGTCACCCCCCTGGCTGCCCGCACCTCGCGCGAGCTGCCCTCGAACGGCCGTCCTCGCAGGCTGGCCTTGTCGAGCGGGCGGGCCCCCTGGGCAGCGCGGCGGGCGGGCGCCCTTCGGAGCCGCGACGTCTTCATAATTGGTCTCCCAGCGGCGCGAACCGTGGTCGGATCGGTTGTGCTCGGATGGGACCCGGCGGTGCTCGCGCCGAACATTGGCTGCGATGGAATAGGCGGCCTCTCGGCGGCAGCGCAGGAAAAGCCTGAAGGAAGAGCATCTGCCTCTGGAGAGGGCCAGGGTGGTTCCCAGGTTGTCGCCTAGCTCCAGGTGCCGCTTGTTGAAGGCCCTGAAGTACCGAAGTACGTGCCTGGACCCTGCGTTGCTGGCCCGCGCCTCCAAGACAGCGATGGCCTCCGAGACGTGAAAAGGGGGCTGCGAAGACCTCGATCCAGAGCTCTTCCTTGAGGAACTCGAGGGGGACCTCGTGAAAGTCGGGGTTGAGCTCCCAGGGTGTCCTCGCTGGGCCCTTGAAGCCTAAGACAGTGTTGACGTCCCCGAAGACATCCAGTTGCTCCCCAAGATGGAGCCCCTTGTTGATCTCCATCGCGCCCTCGTAGGAGTCCAGTGTGGGGCCCAGCGCAGACGTGCGTGCACATATGGATGGCGGGACCCTGTACCTCCACCTCTCGCTGGTTCTTCCGATAGACGCAACGGCGGAGGAAGGAAGGGAGGCTGTGGCCACGGCCATTCCCGAGAGGCAGGCGTCAGTAGCGACGACTGTGGAACTCATCGGCGTTCTCAAAATGCTGAACATCGTGCGCAGCAGCGAACGGCACTGGACAACTCCGAGCGCCGCCGAGGGCCACAGGCGTACTCTGTCAGTGCAATGGCATATGCTGAAATCGTAAAGGTTCCTGAGGACACAAAACAACTCACGGCAAAGCATGGCGTGATCAATGAAGTGACCGACAAAACGTTCAACCTCTTTCCCTGTGACCCTCGGCCTACTCTCTAGACTCTAGCCAGAGGCAGGCTTGCCTGAGCCT